AGCATCAACGGAATTAGGCGAAAATCTGCACACTTGCACATGCAATTCAACTAAAGATGAGCAAGCAACGCCTTTGCAAAAATTTTGCCGACGAGTTTTACGCAAAGGCATTGACGAAACCCCAACACCCAAATTCTGAAGTAGGGCGTTTTTGAAAAGTTTTCTGAGATAGGGGGTTTTCGAACTGGCTGCCGAACTAGGTCGATCTTCTACTCAGGTATCGATATGCTGTAGACATCTATGGAGGAAAATCAATGTAATCGACAAGTTAAATGAAATTTCAATAAGGGTATCAAACGAGAAAGGTTTCAGAAAGCTGTATTTCTTCAATAATTTTTATGAAGATTGCCACCTTTTTAGAAATATAAACTCAGTTTAATTAACAAGTTAAGCGACATACATATATGTACATATATTTGTCTTAAAATGGTTGTCAAACGACAGAGTTGCCAGAAAGAATTATTTCAAAAATATTTTTGAAGAAGGCAGCCAATCGAATATTTTTATGAAAATGTCATTTTTTACGTTTTTCAAAGGGTTACAACGCCCTGAACAAAAATTAAAATAAGATAAAATTTCGTTCGCTTAAAAATTCTAAATATTTTGAATTCCGAAATTCACAAAGTATTTCAGAATTTACATCAGAAGAAGTAGGAAATTAAAAAAAAATTTGAAGAAGAAAATTTAAATTTGTTCCCTACGTTGGTCTAAACTCAAATAAGAACATTTTTCTTGCCAGAGTTCTAGCTTAAAATATAGAAAGAAACATAATTAGAGAGTTGCCACATGTTTGAAAATTGCAGTTTAAGAAGATTGATAAAATAAAGTAAATATTGCAATATGGCTGTCAAAAGAAAGAAGTTCGGCTTGCAGACGAAAATATTTTTGTCAAGGTTGCCTCATGTTTGAAAATTGTATTTTTAGGAAAGTTTACTGCCAAAATTATTGTTGTGGGGGTTTCCACCAGTTTGAAAAAGTGTATTTAATACAATTGACAAAATAAATGAAATATTACTATACGGGTATCAAAAAGCACAAAAAAACTTTTGAGACGCAGTGAAGCACGCCGGGTATTTTCCTGTTTGAAATAAGCGTTTTTCTTAAATCTACTTTACCTTTTATGAATAAGGACATGTGTTTACTAAATAATTATGTATATATTTTTCCAACTATCCACCCACGAAATTACATATTTAATTATATCTGATAATCATTGTGTTGCACATTTTAAATTTTGTAAATTTTTTGCGCGTGATAACCAATTATACCTAATTTGTATTCCCTTACTTGCACTACCGGAAGTTTCATGCTAATCGTTGCTTATCAAATGCCATGCTCCCCAAGACCAAGCGTTTAATGCACTTTTCATTTTCCGTAAATCGTCTAATTGAACCTTTGGCGCAGCTGGATTAAGTGTTAATAACGCTTTAATTAAATTCATTTTAAGAATTATTAAATGAGTATTCGTTTAAAATTTCCTTAAGTCAATCAAACCGTTACGGC